ACGTGTGTGTGGTATGACACCTCAGGAAGAGGCCCATAAATGTTACAAGTTTTTGAGGGCATGGGTCTTTCAATATAAGACCCATTAGAGGAATGACCCCTTCCTTTCATAAGTATATTATAGAAAAAATATTTAGAAACTTAGGAAGTAGAATCAGAGAGCTGTTTGAAGTCACAAACATGCTAACATTTCACAATTCCACGTTTATCATTCTAATGGCAGAAAACTCACACCAAAGTTGGTACCCACTAACTTCTACCTCATTAAGGCAAGCTGCTGGTCATTGGATATTATGCTCTAATAAGACTTCCCATTATGTAGAATAATATATTTCCTTCCAAGGCAAGTTTTTCTTTGTTGTTATTTTCTAATAAAGTAATATACTCCACATTTATAATTTTGCATTCATCTTTAATTTTATCTTTTCTAAATATTCTTTTTATTTATTACACTTTTACATAGAAATTTGCAAGTGTAAAGACACAGCAGGCAAAAAAAATATATCTCTTTTAAGATATTTTAGTATTTAATTGAAATGGATAGTCCTTGTGCAATTTGTTTATCAGGCACTTCAAAATGAACTCAACTATATAATTTCAAGGCCTACAAAATGGAAGCTTTGTTATTTGCCTATGTTTCTCATTTGAAATAAGAGTGAATATCAAGAGTGAATATATAACTGGAACTGAAGATAATAAACTTATTAAAACTTAGTAAGATATTGTTATGGTCAAAGATAACCCGCAAGCGTGTGCCACAAATCCACCCAGATGAAACATCTCATTCACTAAAATTTTCTATCTTATTATAATAATGCACAGAAAATTAAATACATAAATATTAATTTTATGTATCCAGAAGATGTAGGCAATGAAAATGCAATGTTTACATTTATGGGTGACTCATTAGTGTTTTATTGTGTGAAACACTAGGAGGCATCAGTTGGGTAAAAAAGGACTTCAATTTTAGAAGAAGCAAGAAATCACTGTAAAGTTGGGTGTGTAAGAAGTTAAGATTTTCAAAATGTTGCTATGCAAACCAAAACTTTATTTTCTGAAATAAACTCTCAAAACATCATATTCTGTTGTAAAGAATAATCTTGATATAACATTCATGAAATATATATATATATAATTTGACCAATAAATTTTTATCAAGATATATTTCAGATGTACGGATTCATAACTATGTAATTACACATTTTTATGTAGAATATATTTGGTAACAGAGTATCATAATGGATATTGACTATTATGCATTTTCTGCTGAATTACTCAATAACATGAGTGTATGTTTTACTTCTGGCAAATTCTGTTTTGTGCTCTTTACAACGCCTCTGAAAATGTCTAATGCATTTAAGCCTTATAATACCTGCTTCATGTAAGCAGACAATTTGATGTCTGTTCATAAAGAAATGATGGAACTTAAAATTTAAAACAATGAAGACATACATGAAAAGGACATGTTTTCTCTTACTTCACTATTGAAAGCCTGTCATTTGAAAATGGAGTTTTCCATTGTTTGAATGGTTCATAATTATGAAGCAACAGGGTCGAAGTGTACTTATCTAGCAATCATTTGAAATTGGAGTGTCTTGCCATTCCTCAACAATCAGCTTTTATCTTTGCCCTATCAAAATAACATGTGAACTGTGTAATCTGCCTTTTATAAGGTGCATAGACTCTGCTGTCGCTCCTGGTTTCGTGAATCACCTCTGTAATCTGCTTTGATTTCCTAAAGATGACAGATCTCGGTGAACAGTCAAGCTTTACTAAGTGCAACACAGTCCACCCGTCTATGAGATTAAGGTACAGTGTTATCGACGGGGGTCGTAATCACCTATCTTTCCACAAGCAGCATACTGATGGAACATCAGTGATTAAATCCTTCCATCATGTCCAGGCAATCACCATATTAGCACAGAATGAATATGTGTATTTTGATAAGTTTTAGATTTTAATTTGTCTGGTATTTTCTCAGAGGATGTGCTTTTGAAATAAGAAGTAAAACTTTATTAATAATCTCTTAACAGTCCACCCTGTGCACATTAATTGCATATTAAATTCTTCTATGTTGCTTTGAATCATGTCCTCAAAACCAGAGTTCTCTTTAATAACTATGTCTTTGTTGTTATGTAGCACAAGTATTGCTGCACAGCTATTTCCCCATTTTTGTCACTTTCTGAGATTTCATGGACTCAAATTATACCACACTTTAGAGTTGAGAAATAAAACCACAAAAAATACTACAATAAACAGAAGAAAGTTTTTAAAGATAATGTTAACATATGCTAAGGAATTACTCAGTGCTGTTCTTTATAAAAGAAGTTTAAATACAATAAATTATTTATGAGAAAGATACATTTGCAGTGTTATGCAATTTATTGATTCAGTAAAGTTAGGACCAAGGAAAATATTTCAGGTATCATTTCCCCCAAATTGTGCAAAATGAACATGTTTACAAAAAAGACAAAAGGCAAGGTGCCTCTTGTTATCTAAGTTTTATGGAGTTATCTAGTGTTAATGTGCTTCTATCTTGAAAAGTTAATATCTGTGATTGCACACTTTTAAAATATGAATAGGTCAGAAAAGGTGAAAAACTGTTTTATTATAAAGTACTCATTTGTTATTGAAATAAAAAACAAGTTAACATTTAATAAAACTTACACTTTAATATTATATTTCAATATATTCCACATGCACAGCAATCAGGATGCAAATAGTGTAATTAATGAATGAAGTAAAATGCTATCTTTCTTACGAAGTATGAAAAACATGTTAAACATTCCAAAGCTGTGTGAATTATATTAATAAAAATAGTAGAGTTTTATAAAATTTAGTAAAACTTGAAGTAAAAATAACAGCCGCCTACTGTCTCCTTGACGGGAGAACCAAATTTTAAGCAAATGTTATGTTTAAAGACTGTTTTGGTGAAAACTTTTAGAATTGAGTTAGCAGTTGACTACACAGCTAAATGTACTTTTCTACAAATAGAATGAGATACTTGATTTAAAATATTTCTTTCCTCTTGAAATAGGATGTTAGATAGGGACATCTCATTTTACCTATCAAGTTCTCAATCTTGCTTTAGAACTACTTCTTTTAACTTAAATAATTTCATACATACACTGGAAGACAATAATATGGCTTATTAACTGCATTATCATTAATTGAAACTGATGGAGAAACAAAAATACTGCTTATACCATATTGGTACATATTTTTTAAAGACTACAAAATTGACATTATTTTTTAAAATTAAATAAGATGTTTTAGTTTCAAATTAGAGATTGTTGATCTATTTAAAGCTAAAATTGGTATGGAATATGAGGTTAAATGGGGTTCACAGGTGGTCACATTTCCACGTCCTACCAAGTCTCTAGGGATTGGAGTTATTATACTCCACATAAACATCTTTACTCTGCAACCACAATTCCATTGCAAGGTGCCAGTGAAAAGTAGGCTGGTCACTTTTTTTTTTTTTTTTTTTTTGGACTGGTATAATGAGGTGGCTGGAGTTTCCTTTACAGCACTCAGAAAATATATGCAGTCACCAAGTATTTCATAAGACAGTTACTATTAGAGTTAGTTTCAGATTCACAATAGTAAAACGCACTTTGTGTCAAAGCAATTCTCCACTGAGGACCGGTTAAGGAACTGGCAGAGAGCCCAATTCTACTTATTATACTGTCGGCATTTACATATAAAGTATTTTATACAAAAGACAGGCATTCCTATAATGTGACAAAAAAAAAAAAAAAAAAAAAANAAAAAAAAAAAAAAAAAAAAGGCTTTCCCCAAAGAATGATAACTACTGGACTTTGAATAGCCAGAAATGATTCATATATAAAATTTCCCTTAAAAATCAATAGCCATGTTCAGGGAAGGACATAACATTAGCATTAAATTTAAATACTTGCATAATCTTTAACAATACAATAAACAATGTGCTGCATCTATATCTACTTCCTTTGTGCCAAACTTCATCACTGAGTTTGGTAACTTTCATTCCAAGTCCAAAGAGAAGGCAATTTAAGTGACTTAACCTTGCTTGCTTTTAAACAGCTATATATTTGACTTGACCTGAACAGCAATCCATATGGCTGAAATCGAACGTGAATTGTGAAATGTGTAGACTACCATGGCAGGGATATTACTTTTTGTCCACACCAATTAAGAAGCCCTCTGTCAAGCCAGCACTTTGGTGAAGGAAGGAAATGCACAAAGGTATACTCTGACAGCCATGCTTTAGCTCAAACTAATCCCAAGAATTAGTGGCTCAGAAGCATAACCCAGGGCAAATCAGTGTCTTTGGGGGGACTCATGGGAGCATCTTTCCACAGTGAACTAACTGATAAATCTTAAGACATCTACTTCAAGGTCACAGAACATGCTGTGAAATATTAAAATCCACCAGGCTCCACACGCTCCACCATATCAAACATGCTAATGACGTGAACTAACTTCATGAAACTTTAAACACACTGGTGTGACAGGAACGAGTCAGGAGTGATTTCAATAGCTGATGGCAAACCGATACGACTATCTAAAAAGTTACTTTTAGCAACAAACAAGGAAATCATGGAATTTAACGAAAAGAATGCACAACGAGCCTCAACTTCAGCCTTCAAAAAAAAAAAGGCACAGGGATAGATAGACACAGTGCCATGGAATATATTGATGCAGATTTTAGAGACAATACCAGGGTTTTCTATTTCCTCGAGAAATGTCAGGGGTACTTACATGAGGGAAGACCCGATCAGATTAGTCCTTGGGATATTTTCCTTTCTTAAGAGAGAGAGAAAGAGAAAAAAAAAAAACAAACAATAATCTTTACTTCGTCCAGCGTTGAAGTGCTTCTCCACCTGATTCAAACATGCAGCCACGGCGACCCACACAGAACCTTCAAAGTCAATCCAATAGCAGCCCGAAGATGTCTGGGTGTACGCGTGTGCTCAAGTGTCTGTGACTGCGAGCAGAGCGAGCGGAGAGCTGGAGACGATGTGTGCGTGTGTGCGCGCGCGAGAGGAGCGCGCGCGAGGGGGGGGGCGCGGGGCCGCGCATTCGCGCGCGCCAAGGCCGCTCCGAAGAGGAGGAGGAGGAGGAGGAGGAGGAGGAAGAAGGAGGAGGAAGAGGAGGAGGAAGAGGAGGAGGAGGAGGAGGAGGAGAAAGTGGCTCTCAGCGGCCGGTCGGATTAAAAGTAACCAGACTCGTCCAGAAAACTGCGTCCAGGAAGGAAGTGACAGAAGACGAATGGGAAAAGGAGAACAGCTCACAGCGTTTGAAACATCGCGTAAAAAAGACTGGGGGTGGTGGGGGCGGGGGGATGGAAGGATACTGGGAGGGGAGGCGGGGGTGGCAGGGAAGACGGAGCACGCAGGGTTGGGGTTCTAAGCAGCACGTCCGATGAAGTGTCTTTTGCCTCCTTTTTTTCCCCTTTATTTAATTTTGTCCTTGCCTTTGCTTCGCGCTGCCTTTTTCTCTCCGACTCTCTCTCTCCCCCACAATCCCAAACCGTTGACTCTCTCCTCGCGAGCTGGAGAAATCATCAGTTTCACTCTTGCAAAAGGGGGGCGGGACTAGACCTCGGAGCATTTTAATAAAACAAACATACAGCAGCTCCCTCCTCACCCCTCCAGTCTCAACTAGATTGATAAATTACTCCACTACACTACTTTAATTATGTATATGGTATGCAGAATAAATCACTGAACATCAGTACCTCAATCAAGCACTTTTAAATGATAATTGCATCTTGGTGAATCAATCTTTCCATTCCTGACATTTTGCTAATTTTAGTTTTACGGTGGGGTAATAGCACATGCCATACGCAAACCTAATGACAATTCTTTATTGCACGAAATGAAGACAACACGGCGAGCGGCGGCTCCCTGCTCCTCTCCCGGCGCCTCTGCGGAGGACGCTCGGAGAGAACCTCGTCTCCCGCTGCCGCGCGCTCGCTCCCGGGGGACGCTGCGAGCCTGCCAGCAGGAAAGTCCTTCTAAAGTCGGGATCTTTCCTCTGACCAATAGGAGCGCGACCCTAATAGTTGCTCTTGTGACTTTTCCCCCTTTTGGACACGCGTTAGCCACTTCTCTCTTCCACCGGTCGGTGCGCTCCTCCGTTACTCACGCGTAAAAGCCACGGTCCAGGATGTCTGCAGCACTCGATTCCAGCGTGCTTTTCCTGCACACCCAGAAGTCGCGGTTTTCACCCCGAGAGGCTGGAGCGCTAGACAGCGAGCCGAAAGGTTTCTCTAATGCTAGTAATGTACGAAATAATAAAATAATTACCGGTATTTGAGATCTCGACTTCATCGCGGGGCCATGAACTTTCTAATCAGTTTGGAAATATTTACCGAGGCAGCAGCTTCCTCGGAGATCCTCCCCCCGCTTCCTCCCACTCTATCTCTTCCACACCTTACTGGACTTCATCCAGGTCATTAACATGTAAACCAAACCAACTTCCCAAATGCATTAGGCTACCCTAGCCGATAGCTGATGACTTCACTTATCCTGAAGAGTTTCAGCTGCACAGGAAGCAGAAATAGAGACTGATAAGGGAGGATACTTACGTTAAGGTTAAAGCATGCTAAACACTTTTCCTTACCAAAAAATAGGTTTTAATATTTAGGAAAGGCTACTAGAGATTGGCACCTCCCGCCCTAACCAACTATTAATGTATACCACGCCCAATAAAGCCAAAGATAAAAATACATCAACTAGTATAGAATCACGAAAAGACAGGATTGCATGCCAGTAGAATTACAGATTACATAAAATGTTTAAATCAAATTAATTTTTTAAAATATTGTGAAAACAAGAAGAGAAAATTCATAGAACATGGAATGTATGACCGTAGACAATACCAATATATTGAAACATCTAGCTAACTGAAGATATTTCCTCACTTTAGAAAATTCCTTTTAGCACTGTGTTTAACCCAATGACTAGTTGTATTTCCTGTAAAGTTCAGCAATATGCCTTCAGACGACTATTTTTATGTATGAGGACAGTATGGTTCAAAAAGCCTCCTGCTTCGATGTAGGAGGTATTTGATGTCAGTACCTTTCCTTGGAAGAGTGGGCTCAACATTTAGGCAACGGTCCCAAGGCTTCACTTGAAAGGGGAAGGTTGATTTTATAGGCAAGTACAACTAAATCTGAACAATCTCCAAGCTTCCAGCTCATCATTGTGACTATCAGCACAGCTAAAACGATTCCCTCCCTTTTATTATAGGAATGCATCACAAACTGTCACAAAGCAAAACCCATCTGAAATAGTAGTATTTCTTGCAGATAAGCATCTACGATGTATTTTGTTTGCCAGTTTGTTTTTCAAATGGTGAGTTTGCCATTACCATGAATTCATTTTAATAATATGGCAGAGTGCCTCTGTCTCAGTTTCCATTCAAAGTACAACTTCTCTGAAAATCCAAAAATTTAAAGGGCAAAGATATTTGGAATACTAAGATTTGTCTATATATGGTGGTAAAAATAAAATTAATTTTCTTCAAGATTCACAAAGGTCCTGAAAAAGCAAAGCATTTGAAGGATCATCTAAATTTATTGCCATGATACCTAAAATTAACGCAGTGAATTATAGCTGTCTATTTGACATGAGCAAACACATAGCCAATGCATGAATTTCAGCCATGCTATTTTTGATGAATTATAGAGGGTACTTCTATTTACCACAGTGCATTTCAGTTTTAGATTTGTTTCCTTTCAAAAGGAAATTATATTATCTTTTCATATTTTAAATAAATATTTAATGATAAACATAACAAACTCATAATTTTCAATGATAGTGCAAGCATTCAAAAATAAGTATAACCCCACACTGGATAATTTGAAAATAATTTGGATCTGGAAAGTATCACAGTTGGCTTTTTAAAATATAGGATTTTCCCCTTAGCAGATTTAGCTTCTTAATTATGTGTGACCTAAGTTAATATTACCATTAGTTTTCTTCCCATGAGCCTTTATAGTTGAAGCAGAAGAGAAAAGGTATGAAGAAATATACAATAGAAAATCACCTGACATTTAAAATTATTCATGAGTAATCCACAAAGTAGTTAATCCAGAGTGTGCTTTGTATTCTTTAAATACTTCTGAACTTTTGTTTTCTGTTTTAGTTTTAGTTTTTTTTGTTTTTGTTTTTTTTTTTTTAACTAAAATCATCCTGATCCTTGCCATCTAATGGTACTTTGGATCGGACTATTTTCTCATGCAGGGAGGAGCTTGTACTAAGTTTCAGGAGACCTGGATTCTCTATTTAATTCAAATTTTTTGCCATACTAAGGAATTCGTTCTTTCTAGGCTTCAGTTCGTTTATGTGTTAAATGAGTTCTCTAACCTATTCTAGTTCTATTTTCTATAAACAGAAAATGTTTCTACCGTTTAAACCAATTGCAAGGTAAGGTCTATCTAGTGAAATAATAGGCTACAATTCCTTTCAAAGAAAATTATGTCTGGGATTGATGTACTATTGGACCAGCTTTTTTTCTAATCCCAAATATTTCCTTCATTAAGTAATAAATGTTTTATTGTGAATGTAAATATACAGTCACTTGTTTTTTCCTCAAAAGAATTATGTGTAGCCATATATTTAATTAAAGTGCCATAGAAGTTACAGAGAGCATGCTCCTCGGGATTTTAACTCCAGGAAAAGCTAATATTGCAATTTCTGTTCAGAGCTGCATACCATCTTACTCCATCCTCCTCTCTTCACTACTTCCCCACATTAAAGCAGCAGTCCACTAAAGCCCTGTGCACTGGGTCTGCCTGCTTTTAAGCCTGGCCCACGCTGGGTGTAGCTCTTGAAGTGAGCTTTAAAAAATTATTTTAAAGTGAACTGGGGCGGTTGCCACAGCAACCCACCCTGAGATGAAGAAAGGCTATAGCTTAATCTACCCCTTAAGATTATTCAACTGTATAGTATTTGTTCCTCAGCCAGAATACTTTTAACATAAACATGATAAGTGAACATGGTAGTTTAGAAAAATCTAAAAAGTAGTAAGACACAAATTCCAATTGCATTACATATTTTAATCTTTGTCTAGTTACAGTATTGATGACATACAAGACTTCCCATGAACCAGAATAATTGTATAAGATATAGTACTTGCAAAAGTAGGCCCTGAAAGGTGACGTGATCTTTAAGCAAAATTGTGTGTCATTGCTTATAAAGTGTATAGTGGTCATTAAACTCTTTATTACTGTTACACACATCTATGCTGCAATACCTAAGGTCCAGGAGTTTGGCAGTTTTACCTTTATGGTAACTTTGTGGTAAATGATAAAACAAATGTGAGCACTTACCACATACACTTCTTTACTGCCACACTCATTTGCCTTCCGTTCTCTATTTCATCTCTTCATAGAAGTTACTTCACAGTTTGCAACTCTTCTTTGGCACCTGAAAATGTGGAAGTGCAAAAAAGTATATAGTATTTTGTCAGTGCTGATATGAAAGTACTTTCAAATAGATTTATTTCTGAAACTTCTAATCTGAAGTAACAATATTCTGATATTAAAGTGTTTTGAATATAATTGAAATTGTCATTAATTGTGATAATGATCTTTAATATAAATAGGGCGAAATATCTAAATTTTGAAAAACTCACTAGGTGCAGCATTAACCCAAGCAGAATATACAACATATGAACTGTTTGTGATTGAGAATTTGCAATATACAAAGAATTTGTTATTTCAAGACAAGGTTTACACATACCTAAGGATTCTATATTTATTTTTATTTCTGTACCTTCAGTTTTATATCTGAGAGAGAATTACAGAAGAAAGTCAAATCCATTATATCCCAAGCTAACACAATTTGTAAAATTGGGAAATGTTTGCAATGCACTTGAGGATGCTGAAAGGGCTTATTTTATGCATTGCCTAAAGGCCAATTTTAAATACTTTGGGATTAGTGATGTGTATTCAATACAGTTTATAAATTCTATTACCAGTAATACCTTATTCTTCCAAGCAGTGTTTAACTGTACTGAGCAGAGACAAATGCTCCTGTGTTCTGATTTCCGTTTTAGCCTAGCTTTCCATGACTTTGTGCACACAAATGAACCTTTCCTTGGCTTCAGACTGAGACTAGTCCCAGAAAGAGAACCAGCCTTGAGACATATCAGACCAGGTTGGTAAATATCTATTTTCCCGTTTGTAATAGAAGGAGGACTTTTCATAGTGAAGAATCACTTATAAAGCGTCCATATTTGGGTTGACTTCTCTGAGGTTTATTTTTATTTTAAGTTGCTTCAGAGTCAAAGAGAAATGAAGAATTTTGGCCAGTTTTACTTTACATGTGTTAGTTGAGTTTAGTCTTTTAGGCTCAGGCCCACAGTGAGTGAGGCCAAACTTGGTCTTGTAGTCACTACCAATCGATCTGGTGAATTCTCTTTTTCCAATTGTGCTTCATTTTACAGTCTATTAAGTGAGAATCATAATACACATCTCCCAGGGCCTATTACCTCACAGAAATGAAATCTTCATGAAATAACATCTGAAAGGTATGGTAAGGTTTTTTTTTTTTTTTTAAATGTCACTACAAATTATGATATATTTCTTCCTTTTCCTGTAATCAGGATGTCCAAATAAGGGTTGATCAGTAATTTGCTTGCAAGTGTGTGACTGATTCAGAAATACCCACATGCATGACTAAATTTAATGCGACTTTACCTTTACTTACAAAATTGTTAAATGTTGTTCATCATAACATTGATTCTATCCCATTTCTTGAAATATCACAGAAACTGTCAATTTAAGGAATGGATTTTCACACTTCCCCTTTTAACTGCTTCTTTTAGATACCTTACTATGTGTGTGCTTTTTCATTAAAAAAAAAATCTTTACCCGGGGACGGGGTGGAAGTGGGGGTTAAAAATCTCGTTCTGTGTTTTGGTGCCCACTTCTTTGTTTGGAAAGCAGAGCGCTGGGACTCAATCCGGGCGGCTCTCAAAGATCCAGACGAGGGACGCCCCTGGTTTCAGCAACTCACTCGGCTGAGTTATTGATTGCAGGCAGCAACAATCCCTCCGGTTGATTTGTGTGAAAAGTGAATCCGCGCTGGCTGGGCGTTCAGCAGAGGCGCAACAGCCGCAACGCCATCCAATTATTGCCGATCCTCCCCTCCAACACTGCTCTCATCACCTATCTACTCTTTTCTCAGCCCGTCTCTACTTCCCCCCACCCACTTTTCTCCCGGGCCGACGGAGCTGAAGGGGCGGGGGTTCCTTCCTTGGAGTGTTTCTAGAGCTCGGAGGCTGCTAGTAGGG